AGTGCAAAACCGTGGAATTGAAAGAGCCTTAGCGAGTATATTCGCAAGTTGATCATTAGAGGGCAGATATTGTAGAGTAATTTCATGAGACTGGATGTGATCACGAATGAAGTGATAGTCATTCTCGATATGCTTCGTGCGTGCATGCAAGATAGGATTTTGAGCAATGGCCATGACAGACATATTGTCGCAGTAAATTGTAGTAGGTTGAGAACTGACGACTGGAAAATCTAGAAGGAGCCTCCTTAGCCATATAAATTTGGTCACCATTGAAGCTATGACTCAGTATTCGGCTTCAGTTTACAAGATTAGAGCCTATAAAGGTATAATATCCAATGATGCATCTTTTATCATGCAAATCAATAGCCCAACTTTCATCAACATAGTCGTGAAGATTGATGGATCCGAATTGAAATGGGAGACTAAAATCAATTGTTCCATGTAGATAACGGAAGAGACGTTTAAGACTTTGAAAATGAGGTTGAAATGGTTGTTGAAGATGCAGAGAGAGAGAGAGAGATAGAGTTCACCGCTACCATGATATCCGGTATGGTGAGAGTAAGGTACTGTAAAGAGCCTACAAGTCGTCGATATAATGAGGGAGTACAAAAGGGCTCAAAAGAGGCAGAGATACTTTCAGTAGAGATAGTTTATGGAGTGGGAACTGGTTTGCATGTGGTCGTGCCTGCATGGCGTAAAACTTCATGAATATAGCTAGTTTGATTGAGATGATAACCATATCAAGTATAAGTGGTGCTTGTCCAAAGGAAAGTTATGACTAAATCTAAAAATTTCAAGAGAAATGATGTTGTAATTCTTTTTGAAATTGTTGTATCACTCCGATGTCATTGCCTGTTAAGAGGATATCATCTACATAGAGAAGGAGATAAAGGAGATGAGAATTATGATGATAAATGTAAAGAGATGGGTCAGCCACACTTGCGATGAAACCAAATTTAAGTGAGTGGTAAGAGTAGCATTCCACTATCGTGGAGCCTGTTTCAGTCCATATATATAGATTTTTGCAATAGGCGCACCTGATTGGGATAGGTAGAGTTTTGATAACCCGTTTGTTGATGCATATGGACCGTTTCATGAAGACGATCATGTAAGAAGGCATTGGAGACATCCATTTGAAAGATAGGTCATTTGTTGTGAAGAGTCATGATAAGGAGAAGCCGAATAGTAGGAATTTTTGCAACGGGATTGAATGTATCTGCTTAATTGAGACCAAACACATTATGATATCCCAAAGCTAATAAGCGTGCTTTGTATCAAGCAACTAAACCGTCAAGGTGATGTTTAATTTTATGTGTCCGCTTATTGTCGAGGACTGGTTGACCAATGGGAGGAGGGACAAGTTGCCAAGTTTGATGTTGTTGTAAGACATTATATTCATCATCCATAACCTGCTTCCAGTGTAGTTGTTTAACCTCTTGCTTGAAGGTTCGCGTTTCAATTGAAAGAGAGGTATCATGCATCAATTCAAATATCACCCGCTTTGGTAGGCGACCGGTCTTAGAGCGGGTGAGCATGCTGTGTCGCGGAGGAAACTGAATGACGAGTTGAGAGCTATTGGAGTCACGACAGAAAGATGAGGCTAGTTATTGAGGGGTAGCAGGCAGAGCAGTCAAAGTTGAATCTGGGCAAATGAGAGTGTAGGAGGAGAGATCAGGGTCGGGATAGCAAATGGAGTTTTTATGGTGGAAGTTGGTACGAGAAGAAGTGGGGAGCAAAGGGAGATATGGTAGGTAAGCTAGAGAATTGGAAGGTAGATTGGTAGGGATAGATAAGCTCATTAAAGATAACATGTCTGGAATAATCATCTTGCCCGTTGTTGGATCAAAGCATTTATATCCTTTGATATTGGATGGATAGTCGAGAAAGGCACACGATTTGGATCGTGGTTTTAGTTTGTGGTGTTGAGCAGGTGGAAGCCATAGAAAGCATTGGCAACCAAACAATTTGAGCTATATGTAAGAAGGGGCAACACCATATAGAAACCTGATAGGGGGAAACATTATTTGTTACTGTGGAAGGCAGGCAATTTATCAAATAAGTGGCAGTATTCGTAGCTTCAAGCCAAAGCAATGAAGGCACTTGTGAATCGATCTTTAAAGTTTGAGCTGTTTTCAATATGTGACGATGATTTTGTTCGACAATCCCATTTTGTTGTGATGTGTAAGGACAAATTAATTGTTGAATAATGCCATGCTTGGTGAGGAAGCTCTTGAAATTACGACTAATATATTCTCCACCGTTATCTGTGCTGTTGTGGGTCTATATACCAACAACTTATGTGGTATATCTATAAATCAAACAGAAGAACGATCGACAAAGCGAAAAAATAAAACGAGAAAAATTCACACCAGAAAACAGCAACACAACGGAACACACGAATTTACGTGGTTCGCAAATTGCCTATGTCCACGGAGTTGCAAAAGATTTTACTACATGAGGAAATTTACACCAGTCAATCACCTCGACTTACAAGAGGAATCTCTCACTCTTCGTTGCTCTCTCTGTTATTCTCTCTTTGTTCTTCTCTCTCTACACCGAGATACACCGAAGAAGAAACACGTACAAGAGAAATAAACTCAATTTCTCTTCTGTCACAAACCACCAAGAAGAAGCCTAGGGAGAATAATCTTCTTCTTCTTCTTCCTCTACCGTAAGGAACTACTTCTCATTGCACTTCTCTTTTACTGCCCCGTGGAAACCTTCCTCTATCCCGAGGAAATCGAAGAAGAACACCAAAAAGGTATGTCGTGACTTCTCGACCCAAGGAGAGCCATCTGAAGCTTTTATCACGAACAGAAAGCGGGAACGGGCGTAGGCGGGAACAGTTCCGCGATCGAGCGGGAGCTGGAGGAGTCGCGACCTTTCGCGACAAAGGAGCGGGCCGAAGCGAATCTTCGCTTCGCGACAAAGCTGTTCACGAATCGCTGGCGGAAGCGGGAGTCGAGAGCTGGAGAATGAGGCGTGGATCGGGCTGCAACTTAACAATTTACCACTTGGAGACCGATACACCTGCTACAACATCTCCTTCCTCAAACTCATCTCTTCCACTGCTCCGTCGCTCTTTTCTTCAAACATGTATCCTCCACAATGAATCCTCCAACTTGAATTTTCTACCTCTGCAACTCAAAGCCTTTGTTTTCACTCTAGAAGACCAATTGAAGCTGTTCACAACTTCAGTTTCTCAAGAGTAACACCCTCAGTCAACATATCAGCAAACTTCTCATAGCTTTGCACCTCCAAGCTATTTTCTGGGTCACTCTTGTCTCTTTTTACAACTCCCACTGCATGAGCAACATTCTGCCTCAGCTTAAAGCTTTTTTCAACATGTCTAGCTTTGTACCTCTTACTGACATATCGCTCAGTTTTCACTTGTTACACCCACTTGTTGTGCAATGCCTTTTTTTCTGGTGGAAGTTCTGTCAGCTCCCACTTGCTCGAACTTTCATCTTGCAAAGTTTCTTCATGGCTCTGTGATTCTTCAACATCTGTCTGTGGACCAATAGGAATGGGTGCCCCAGACCCACTTTCCCCTTCACTTCCATCACTGCCCTGCACTATGACCTCTACTAGATTTCCTATCACATTCAAAACCCCTGAATCCAATGTCAAATCTTCAACATAACTATGAACTGCTAACAATAGTGCATCATGTGATTATTCAGATACCACATTTGCGCTATCATTCTCTATCTTCTTAGGATTCCTGCAGTTCTTCTTTATGTGACAAGCCTTGCCACAATTCCAGCAGGTTGCCTGCTTACTAAGTTTTCTGCTTACTAAACTTTGATTTTGATCTCTCTATACTTGAGTTCCTGTCATGTCATCTCCCAACATTTAGTGTCGAACTTGAACGTGAGTCTTCGCCAGAATCTTTCTTGCGAACTTCCTCAGCCAAAATCAAACCGCAAATATCATCGTATTTCAATTTAGATTTATCTGCATAACTGCTAACTGCTATCCTCATGACTTCTCAACTATCTGACGATGAAGCCAACAAGATCAGTGCACATATCTCATCATCAAAATCAATTTCCACAGACGACAATTGATTTGTGATAGTATTGAAATCATTCAGTTGTTGAACAACAGAAACACCTTCCGTCATCTTGAAGTTGAATAACTTCTTCATCAAGTACACCTTATTATTCGCCGATGGCTTTTCATACATACCTGATAAGGCTCCTATGAACTCGGCAGCGTCCTCTCCATTTTTTTGACGACGATGTGTGCAACGAACCTCGATAAGGTCAATCGAATAACCTCAGAATTCGTCGATCCAACAAATTTCATTCAGCCTCATCCATTCTTTCAGGTTTTTTCCTCAATAATGGAAGATGAAGTTTCTTCTCATAGAGGTAGTCATTTATCTACATCTTCCAGTAACCAAAATCTGTGCCATCAAATTTCTCGATTCATGAAACCTTTACTTCATTTGCAGCCATCATTCTTCCTCAGATCTGAACAAAGTTCTGATATCAGTTGTTGTTGTGGGATATATACCAACAGTCGATGTGGTATATCTATAAATCAAACAGGAGAACGATCACGAAGCGAAACATGGAACGAGATTAATTCACACCAGAAAACAGTAATACAACAGAACACACAGACTTACGTGGTTCGACAAATTACCTACGTCCACGAAGTTGCAAAAGATTTTACTGCTTGAGGAAATTTACATCAGTCGATCACCTGGACTTATAAGACGAATCTCTCACTCTTCGTTGATCTCTCTCTCTTCTTCTCTCTTTACACCGAGATACACCGAAGAAGAAACGCGTACAAGAGAAATAAATCTAATTTCTCTTCTGCCACAAACCACCAAGAAGAAGCCTAGAGAGAACAATATTTTTCTTTTTCCTTTTTCTTCCTCTACCGCAAGGAACTACTCCTCCTTGCACTTCTCTTTCACTGCCCCATGGAAACCTTCCTCTATCTCGAGGAAATCGAAGAAGAACATCAAAAAGGTCTGTCGATACTTCTTGACCCAACGAGAGACATCCGAAGCGTTTATCACGAACAAGAAGCGAGAACGGGTGTAGGCGAGAACAGTTCTGCGATCGAGTGGGAGCAGGAGGAGTCGCGACCTTTCGCGACAAAGGAGCGGTCCGAAACGAAGCTTCGCTTCGTGACAGAGTAGTTCGCGAATCACTGGCGAAAGCGAGAGTCGGGAGCGGGAGAATGAGGCGTGGATCAGGCTCCAACTTAACAATCTGTACGAAGAATCTTAAATATGTAGTCAAACTGAAGTTCAACTTCATGTTTGAACTTAATGAAGTGTTGAAGAACTTGAGATTTTGTAAACATTGGATAAATCCAACTAAACCAAGAAAAATCATCAATAAAAAGCACATAATATTTGTAGCCTTAAAGTTAAGGCATGGGAGTGGTCCCCATACATCACTATGTATCAATGCTTATGGAATACAATGCCTGCTAGTAGAATTAGAAAACGGAAGTGATGACATTTAGCACTATTACATGAATTGCATACAGAAAAATGAGAAGAAATCCGTAAATGTGGTTGCCGTTGAGAGATGGGTTGAAGGACTTGCTGATGTGGATATCCAAGGCGCCGATGCCACTGGGTGGAGGAAGCTACCACAACCGCTAAAGCTTGATGATTATTGGGAATGCGATAGAGATCATGAATGCGCGCATACCCTGAAGGAGAAGCTGTTGAGTCATGCGGTCCTTGATTTGGTAGCCATGAGCATAAGAACTTATCACTCAATTATTGTTATGAGTTAACTGAGAGATTTAAATCAGATTATGTGAGATGTGATGTGTATGAAATAGCCTTGATAGTCGGGGATGGTAAGATGCCGGAGCCAGAGTATTTGATGGGAACGGTATGACCACCGAACATAATAGTCACGTGCTCATGATACGGCTCGGGATGCTGAAGTTGTTTGTAGTCTGAAGTTAGATGCAAGGTTGCCCCGGTATCTTGATACCATTCTGGCGACTTGAAGGAATGGAGGACGTAATATATGCCGCATGAGAAGTTTTGGGCTGATATTGAATATTCAGACGATGCCAGCAGTTAGAGGCAAGCTGTCCAGATTTATTGCATATCTGGCATGTCAGTCGGTTAGAAGATTGAGTGGAATTTGGAGGATCTATTGTGCGGTTATGAGTGTTGTTTTTACCTTTACCCTTGTAGTATCTGTTCTTGGTTTTGGCGGAATACAGGGCTTGATGAGGATCAGTTTTGGTGGAGACAGCAGCTTGCTCAATGAGGAGATTGATCTCTTCGCTAATTAGGATGGCATATAGCTCATCAAGACTGATAGGAGTTGATCTAGTACGGATGGAGGTCGTGAACAAACAATATGTTGTAGGAAGTACCTTCAAGATGTAAAGTATTATATCTTCGACATCAACATGAGACCCAGTTGCCGATATGTTGTCAACAGTGGCTTTAATCTGCATGAGGTATTCAGATATTGAGAGCATGTTCATCGATACGTTGTGTAGCTCGTTCTTTATCCGGATAATGCGAGAATGATTAGTGGTTTGATGATGCATTTCCAAGGCATTCCAAATGGCGTGCTGGTTTCAAGATGAAGAACACAGGGCAAGTTCGTGGGAGAAATAGTTCTGCCGCCAGGTTCTGATCAATAAGGTGCCAGATGGTGTAAACAGGATTGGGAGAGGATACACCAGAAGTGTTGAGGATCATGGGCGGAGGGGATGGTACGGTGCCGCCAAGAAATCCCAAGAAGCCATTGGCTTCAGTCAGCTTAATAGTCTGAGAGTGCCACATCTGATAATTCTCTGCGGTGAGGGTGTTTGGTACCGTAGACTTCAGATTAGGGGTGTAAACAAACCGAACACGAACGAACAGAGCTTCTGTTCGTGTTCGGTTCGTTTGAAATAAGCTCGCGTTCGAAATTGTTCGTGAAGTCACTGTTCGTGTTCGTTTTTTAACGAACGAGCCAAACACGAGTTGCTTGCGAACGACGAGCGAGTTTCACATCCCTCATATTAATATATATAAATAATATATTATATATATAACTTATGTTATATAAATATATAATATCTATATTAGTATAATACTAATACAATATATTAATATATTATTATTATTAATTTATTATATATTATAATTTATAAATTTTAATTTTTTTAAATATCATAAATTTTTTATATATAATTATTTTAAATTATTTTATATTTCGAACAATAAGGATTCAAACACAAACGAATGCATCACTGTTCGTGTTTGGTTCGTTTAAGAAACAAATCGAACACGAAATCCTTGACGAACCGAACACGAACTGTTCGCGAACAACGAGCTTCTTTGATAGCCCTACTATAGATTGGCCATAAAGAATTTGAGGGAGGGTGGGATGAGATTATCTGAAATTCTGAGTTGCTCAAGTCCGTCAAGGACGTTTGTGGTGGCTGATTCTTCCATGACCGGAAAACCAAACAAAGAGAAAATTCAGCAAGTGAACTGGAAAGATTTGCTGAAGAAGATCAGGAAGAGCAGGCGAGAGGATCTGCTTCAAGATTTGTGGACGACTTAAAGAAATTCAGAATTGTGTTGATGAAGGTATCAGCTAGATGAACTGGCAAGAAAAACCCAGTTGAAGAAGGATTTTGAAAGATTCTTGCGAGGCCAAGCTCTGACACCATGTGAAAAGAAAGAAGAAAGACAGATATTGGAGGCGGTAAAAGAGGAAGAATAGAGAAGAGGAATTCAGGAGTACTACTTGAAACAAATACAGAGTATTTATAGTACCCGGCTACCAACACACAATACAAATATTACATAAGCTGAATTTATAATAAATAGAATAAGACATAAATTACAAACACATTAGCCAGGTGCATTATTCCAATGTATATATTATTTGATTTGTCTTCTATTATGAATATTTGCCTGACTTTCAACATTATGGTACCATACAACTCCAATGCATTCAATTGGCATATCTACAAATAGAGTTCTTACATCTCTATTCGTACAAAAAACAATAAGGAAGTTACAATGAAAATTTTATAACAATGAGATTATATTGGTTTTTTTTTTTTGGGCATTTACATTCATGGCACCCAATTCTGATGTATTTACATATCTAATGCCTAAACTTTGATTTGTACATTAATACTACCCAAATCTTTCCTCGCAAAAAAATACCGCTAGCTCAACTTTGTGGTATACATCATTTCATGCTTAAGCAAGGTAGCATGTATTCAAAAATTGAAGTATAGGTGCTAGATATGTAAATACATAAGAATTGAGTGGCATGTATGTAAATATATTTTTTTTCATTCTTATTTGTTTAGATGCAGATTTAGACCATCTCAAAACCTCCAGCTGATGCTTCTTCTTCCTCAATATCATCCCCATCCATGCAGGTACCGTGCGATCACGAGTGCTTACTATCGGGGAGCCGTCGGCGCATTGCTTGTCTACGATGTCACTCGGCACGCCACCTTTGAGAACACAGAGCGATGGCTGCGCGAGCTAAGGGACCACACCGATCCAAATATCATTGTCATGCTTGTCGGAAACAAATCCGATCTACGTCATCTCGTCGCCGTCAGCACCGAAGACAGCAAAGCCTTTGCGGAGAAAGAATCCCTTTATTTCATGGAGACTTCGGCCCTCGAAGCCACCAACGTCGAGAACGCTTTCGCCGAGGTCTTAACGCAGATCTACCGCATTGTGAGCAAGAAGATAATTGATTCGGGTGATGATGGCACGAGTTCTGTTCCCGGCAAAGGGGAGAAGATTAATGTTAAGGATGATGTGTCTGCTCTTAAGAAAGCTGGCTGCTGCTCAAGTTGAGCTTAGAAAATGTTGTGGGAAGTAATATTATTATATGGCTTTATTTGTTTTTAGTTTCTTTGTATTTTCCTATTTTGGAACTTTTTTCTAATGTGTTTTTGAATTGTAAACATCTTTGATGTTGATGCGGCTGTGTGATTTAGGAATGGATTGGTAGTTTCAAGGAAGATTTGTAGTGAAAATATTGTAGAAAAATTCTGATTTATGTGGACGCCATCTTGTTATTTTGATTGGAGTTGTGCTTTGGGGGAGGAGTTTTTCATTTGTATAATATTCTTCTAGTTTGATTTTGTTTGGTGGAATTGCTCCCCATTGTGGATTTCTATTGTTCGTCTGGTCCTTTTATTTTGATTCAAGAATACATTTGTATGTGTTTGTTCTTGAATTTAATTTTGTTGTTGAAGATAAATCGCTCGATCGGTAGATCAGATTAGCTGGATATTGTTTCTAGTTTTACTAGTTGCCTTAGAGTCTGTTTGGGGCAGTTGCAGCATATTGAGTAAGCAACTATTCAATTATTTTCGGGATAAGTTGTTCGAAAGTTATTGATAGCAAACTAGTGTTTGCTTGAATGATTTGTCGTGCTGCAGTTATTTCTAAAAAAAAGAAATTAATGCCTTTATCAATATATGTTTGTTGTAAGTCCGTGATTTCGTGAATAATTCAAACACCAAAATAGAAATAAATTTCAACAGTTGAAAAGTCGGAAGTTCATTATTCAATTACATTAAGTGCAATAAATCATTTAACACATAATAATAGAATAATAAAATATATAATAACAAGTAATATTTATATAATATTGACTTTCATGCTCAAACGTTTCTTTTAGAGATTTTTCTTCTTCAGTTTCTCTCGAGACAGGATTATCATCTGAAGTGAATTTCCTCATTATCACTACAAGCTCATTTAAAAAATTTATAGTCATCAATTGTTATATTCTTAAGACACATAGAATTTTCTCTCATAACTAGCATCTCTTTTGGAATTATACTCGGAGCATTGTATGCTACAATTGCAGTACATAGTTATATGTCACATCCCAAAAGAACCCTTAAGAGAGGTGGGCAGCCAGCCCAAGACTTAAATATTGTATTTCGGCCATACACCTAGCCGATGTGGGACTATTTATCCGGGACATTCTCCTCCACCGAATACATTCTCCTCCACCGAATCATGTGACGCCCTCGTCACGGATCAGCTCCACCGAGGGTCCCAGTGAACCATGGAGAGTCAACACACATGACAGACAGTAATCTGCTCTGATATCACTTGTCAACTCCCAAAATAACCCTTAAGAGATGTAGGCAATACAAGACTTAAATACTGTTTTTCGGCCCTACACTTAACCGATGTTGGACTATTTGTTCGTGACATATAACTCATATTTCCTGAGAATTCAAAGTTAAATGTTTAATCTAAAAATTAGAGTATATGTGTGACATAGCAAGTAAATAAAAAAAAGAGGACTCATAATGAACATAAGAAAATACATAATCATTCGTATATGAGGATAAAAGACACATAAAAAATGAGATCTTGGTTGCCTTTCAGCTTCTATTATCAAACCAGTATATATCGAAAAATAAAACAACATAAAAATCATCTAGAAGAACTCTTAAAATCATGCCTAATCAAATACCTCAAGAAAATACATAATAATAACACAAAAGCAATTCACAGCGCAACAATACAACATAATATTTAATATTCTTTTCGACTTATACTAAATGACACAATTCATTGAGCATTGATGAAATACATAAAGATGAAGATGAAAAAAACTCGTGCGAAAGTATTATTTTACTTCTCAACCAAAGCATTGTAATTTATTTCCTCAACCAAATCATAATATCAATATATTCACCATCATGAGTTGAATCATCATCAATATCTTAGGTATTCATTATTGACCGACCAATCCTTTATTTTGAAATGTGTCATCGGATTCAAATTATTAAATTCAATGTCATGTTTTGAAATGTGTGATCGGATTATCGCTACCACTATTTTGACTTATTCGTCCCTTAGAATATCATATTTCTTCTTTCAAACTCCAAAATTCCTCTTTAATACAACACCTAGGCAGAAGTGACTCTTATCATACATAAGGGAGAAATAAAAAAAATAATTTGAAGAAAATTTTAATTAATTTTGTATTTATTGTGTAACTATTTTTAAAATGAATTAACCCTTTAAATTAAAAAGTCATTTATATCGAATGTGAATCGCAAGTTTTTAAATTAAATTTTATTTAAATCAGATTTAAATGGAATTAATATTAATATTTCTCTTAGCAAAACGAAGATAAGATTTTTCATGTTCTCCAATAAGAAAAAAGAAAAAATTAAAGCTGCTATGCGGTGAGCGTGGATCGAACACGCGGCCTTCAGATCTTCAGTCTGACGCTCTCCCAACTGAGCTATCCCCGCATTGTTGATTCGTTATTAAATAAAAGCCTAATAAATATTAAATATCTAATTTTTTGTTTAAGTATTATTTCCTAACTACGCATCGATTATTATAATTATTATTAATTCTATTTTGGAAAAAAAGTAATAAATTATAAAGTATGACTTGATGAATATGTTTACCTGGCATTGGCGAACCGAGCCCAGGAACAACTCATATTCGGCTTGTCAAAAAATATCACTAGTTGTGTTTAGCTCGTTTATATTTCTGATATACCATGAATCTTGAGTGATATTTTAAGCAAGAAACATTCAAATCTTGAAAAAAAGTCATCCAAAGCTCAGATTTCAGCAAACTTATAGTCAAACTGACATGTTCAATGAGACGGACCTAATGATATAAAAACTAACACAATCCAAGTACACAATCCAAGTCACACAATCCAAGTTAAATCAAGCCCAAATAAAGTCATTTACAATTATAAGATTTATGAATACATTTGGAAAGTTAAACGACTGTCAAATATGACAAGTTTATACTTAAATCGAATACTTAAAAAGTTTATACTTAAATCGAGCGGCTCAACAAGATGAATCTAACGAGCCCAAGATCACTCAATTCTGACATCATTAAGACACTCAAATGTCTATTAAATGTTATATGATCAAGGAAGGCTTACCGAACCGTCTGATCAAAATGGTTCATATTCCTGCATTAATTGCACCCAGAACACTATACATAGAGCCTCATCCCTCTCATGAGAAAAAAAGAAAGTCTAGAGAGAGACTGAGGTCTTGAGGAGAAGCTGCAGACCACCGCCAACCTCAGACAACCACCACCGACCTCAGACGACTACCGCCGACCGTCGTTGATCACCGCCGACCTTAAATGACCACTGTCGACCGTCGTCGACCACCACCGACTGTCATCGACCACCATCGACCTCAAACGACCACCGCCGACCGTCGTCGACCACCGCCGACCGTCGTCGACCACCGCCGACCGTCGTCGACCACCGCCGACCGTCGTCGACCACCGCCGACCGTCGTCGACCACCGCCAACCTGAGATGACCACCACCGACCTCAAAAGATCACCGCCGACCGTCGTCGACCTCCACCTACCGTCCTCGATCACCATAAACCGGACGTCGTCAGTCGACGTTGCACCTTGAAAAATGTAGTTATCATTTCTCGTCTGTGAGACAAGGGATTTTTGTAATCATCAATCAATAGTGGATTTCCGCAACTGGACCAGACCCCGTGGTTTTTCCCTTACGGGTTTTCCACGTAAAAACTTCTAGACTCATCAGTAGAGTCATCAATTTCATTTGTGTGTGTGTTGAACTTTCGTACAACGCTAAGACGATAATTTGTTACTTTACCGCCGCGAATTTTTTAGCACGCATCAATTTCAAACCAAAAAAATGTGTTTGTGTTCGGCTCGTTTGCTAAATGAGCCGAAATGAGCTATTCGCGAACAAAAAATTATTTTGACAATGCTAATCATCCAGTCGTATGATGTTAAGGTCTGGGGCAAGATTTAAATCTTATTATTTATGTTAAAACATCATGTAAATATAATTTAATATATTTATTATTCCAATTTTAATTGATTATAATTCTCTCTAGTTTTGTCATTAGTTTTGTCATCAATTAAATTTTTTTAAAAATACTACTCATTACTCATCAACATATATATATATACACACACACACACACACGCACACACACACACATATGTAGATACACACACATATGTATATATATATATATATATAT